AATGTTCGCTACTAGGGGCTCCTGGCCGTACTACTAGGAGCATCCTTACTACTAGTAACAAGAGGCTACTAGAAACAAGTGCATCGCTACTAGTAACAAGTGCCTTACTACCAGTAACAAGAGGCTATTAGGTTTTTGCTTGTAGTGACCTGGTGTGACACATCGTGTGACACATCGTGTGACACATCGTGTGACACATCGTGTGACACATCGTGTGACACATCGTGTCTGGTCTTGTCTACTCAAATTCAATCATATCCCACCACACACATGCAGCTGCTTTCAAATTCCAACTGATTTGTAAGGCTAATAGCTGGGCCAAATGTAAAACTTGAAATAGACATCGAAAATAGTGCGATTCAAGACCTAGTTGTACAAGTGTAAGGAGTAGAGTAAGGAGTGGAGACCTCTTAGCCAGCGAACTTCTCCTAGTAGCTTACCTCCTTACTTAAGTAGGAGCGGGCCAAAAAAGAAAAGATAACAAAAAATACATCTTTTTTAGTAAGGAGAAGAGTGAGTTCTTTCGAGGCTGCGGCATTTCACAGGTGTGGGCAGCAAATCTTGTGAAATCTGGAAGAACATCTTCACCTTTTGAGTCGGAGCTCAAATGTCCCAAACCATTCGGATGTGTATTGTTCACACAAAAGAAAAGAAGCAAGAAAGAAGAGAAAAAGAAAAGAAATGAACATATGAGAAAATATAGTAACAAGTGCATAACTACTAGTAACGAGAAGCTACTAGTAGCTATTTGCTACTAGTAATGCCCTTGCTAGCATCGAACATCGTTGTTTTTTTTCAGATCCTCACCGTGGCATTCATGATCGGATCCGCCAGCGACTGCAAATCCGGCTTGTTGACGCCCAGCCAGCCACCTGCAACAAATACTCAAAAAAGATTCAATGTTGCTGCGCTCGATGAGGTCGCGAATCTGGAGAAAATCAACCTAATAGCGATGGTCTCAAACCTAGTAGTACGTTTCTTGGTTTCAGCTGCTTTTTTCACCACTCAACATGGTGAAATGCGAAACCGAGTTCTCACTCCTTTTTGCGCTGAAATGCGCATCACATGAGATCGAATTTGCATCCTGCATCGACTAAACTGCTCATACCTCTGCCACGCCACAGCCACCGCAGTCAGAAACATATCTGGATGCGCTTTTTGCATGTGGTTTTGCAGATCTATTTTAAAGGTTAAACAGGGTTGGGAAACGGAAAGATCTACGGTGCAATATGAGAGAATGGATGAGAGACATTGGTCGTGTGGAGTGCAAATACTTGAGTGGAATGATCTTCCACTATTGTGTTCAGCGAAGCGGAGTATTGTGGTAGAAGAAAGTTTAAAACGGAAGGTAAGCTATAGCATTCTATTGGGAGCCTATAGTAAATTTAAGGTATAGGTGAAGATATTTAAAAAAATTGCGTCCAACCCAATAGCGATGGCCTCCACCCTAGTAGCGATTAGGTATAGTAGGTAATGATGGTAATGACGGTTGACTTGGTGGTTGACTTGATCGTTGGGGTTGTGAACGGTTCTGCTTCGACACCGTCTGCACCCTTGAATCATTTGTGAAAGTCAACTCCTAGTAGCTTCTTTGTTACTACTAGTAAGGCACTTGTTACTAGTAGCGATG